TATTATTTGTCCAAAAAGACAAAACAAAAAACCCCATAAAACACATTAGTATGTAAATCGCACAAACCTCGAAGTACTTAAACTCTACATCTGCTGACAGGTGTTCAGACCTTAGGTAATCCAGCGAGAAAGAAACGTAACCACGAGATGCCAACAAGGCAGAGCGATACTCCAGCAGCCCTACACCGCCTCCCCACATGTCTAGCAGCGTAGGGAAGGGTCCAGGACCTGAGGGGAAAAAACAGAATCAAACACAGTATTTTAGTCAGTTTTTTCTACTCTTAGTTCTGTTTGTGTCACGGCTGGGGCAGCAGTCGTGTTGTGGAGTGAAAGGAGGACCCAAAATGCAGGCAGCCGACTGATGATATGAGTGAGGGTTTATTTACAGGTGACAGTGGCAGAAGAGACAACGAAGCATGAGAAAACAACTGAAGAAACCTAAACTGGGAGAACTAAATGACAAACCTAAGAGCATACAAAAGGGGTGTGGGGCAGAGAGCCACAGAGACGGGAACGGAACACCATAGAACGCAGACGAGCCGACAATGAACACAGACCGACACCCACTAAATATACACACACACACACACGGTAATTGGGTAATCACACACAGGAGGGAAGAACAGCTGAACCCAATACACATGAGGACCGGAGGAGACAAGCTGAACACAATGACAACAGACACAGACTTTCAGAACAAAACAGGAAATCTAGAACCCGAACCGGACACAAAGGGGGGAGGACACAGAATAACTAGAACAGAGGAAAATAATCACAAAACACAAAACGCCCAGGACCATGACAGTTTGATGTCAGGAAAAGAGGATATTCCTCATGTAGTAATTTCGGGGTCAGAAGTGTCACCCATCCATCTCACAAAATCCAGATTATTTAAAAAAAAAAAAAGAAGAAAAAAAGAAGAAGTAAATGTTTTATTTCCAGTGTACCTGGTGGTATAAACAGGGTCCCCTGCACTCCTTGCTTATTAATATCAATTCTCTTGACACCAGGAGCCATGTACCATCTTTCTGCGAGTGCTGATGCCAGAGGGGTCCGGTCCCTGAAGTCCTCGTGTCCACTGTGGACTGAGATGTTGACCAGCATTGGTGTGCACACGTTTATCTTCCTTAACCTGACCAGTAATGATACGAGTTATTGAACAGAATAAACAAAGGGTAGTCCACACACACACACACACACACACACACACACACACACACACACACACACACAAGTCATGGTGTTAGTTAGTCATATGTCCTTCAATGCACAAAATTAAACAAATATCTATTATTCCTTTCTTTTCCCTGTACAGTGTTGCCAAGATGAGTATTGTAATTCCTTATTATGACATTACAGGCTGCTGGTTTTTTTTAATGGAGACAGGATTTTTCTTAAACAAAGACTTTCACCGTTGGCTTTATGCAGCCTAATTATGTCTGTTGTTACCTCCCGAAAGGCGTACAAGTCAGTCCTTGTCATGCCGAAACTGGTATAATCGACATAAATATTGAGGTGATAACTTAAGCTCCTTTACACGCCACGAGCTCGGCAAGATGACCACCGAATCCTTACCTGAGGCCTTCGCGGCTGCCTGGGACCGGCCGCATGCTCCACAGCAAGCCCATGGGCTCTTTTCCCGTATACGTGCCTCCAAAACTCAAATCCTCGGTAACTATAAGAAAATAAAAACCATTTTATTCCATTTGACTTGGTTTCATTTTTATTTCATATCTTTTTACATTACCAGTCCATCTGATTGTATCATAATTAACTCTTTCTAGTGTTTTCTTTTACTGTTTTTCATTTAGAGTTTTACTTACTTACTTTACTGATTAATACCACAGTAAAAAGTCTGTGAGCAGAGCTCACACTGACAATAATCAGTTACCATCTTAATTTCTTTCCCACCCTTTTTTAAATTAACAAAACAGGACAGCATATCTGTGCCAAGGACACAGAAGACTGACAAGAACAACACAACCTGGAAAACAATCACTGTAACAGGAGGATATCAACATATGGGATATAAGAATGAGTGTGCTGTGTGAGTGGGTTTAACCTGTTAGCAGTCGGACGTACCGCCCACGGTACATTGGATGGTTTAGGGGACTAATTGTAAATTTGTAGGACTGCTAAGGGGTTAACTATATTCTGCCAGTGATCAAATGGGACAAACTAAAATCTCAGAATCGCTTCCAAACCATATCACAGAAATAGGATCCGGAAGATGGCCTTTACCAAAAATCAAAAATAGCCCCCATATCCTGAGAAAGACCCTGTTTATTAGGTGGCCATCGGTAAATTAATTTTCAGTGTTGTATATAATGTAAACGAAGTCAGTAGTTTGATCATCTGCCCATAGTCCTGCCCTTCCACCTCCTGGGATTCACGAATAGGACTTGATCAAGGTCACCCAGTGACACTTGTTAAGAGATTAGCAGGTGATACTCACCTTGAAGAGACACAGACACACACATACATCAATGTTGTGTGAAGGTACAATAAATGGATTTAAATATTCCCACAGCAATGAAAGCATCATAATTTCAGCAATTATTAATACAGCTACTACTACTACTAATACTACTACTGAGTACTACTACTACTACTAATAATAATAATAAACTTAGTATTTTAGTAGTACTCCCTAATTATGATACATGAGCATGATATTTTGAGTAATTGAAATCAAGCAATGTAACAAGTTCGTTTATTGATTATTAAGGTCCAGATGTGGTTCGGTTTTCAGTGGTTTTTATCTAAATCAAGGCAGACAGGGAAGGAATCTTCCAGGGTGCACAAGACTGTATTTGATGTTCTGTCACGGTGAATGTGCTGTGTGAAGGCAGGCAGGAAAGGACCCAAACGCATTACTCACAGACGCGGTAACTTGAACAAACAAACAAACCAAAAAAAAACCCCCCACAGCTCTATTTGCTGGCAGGGGAAAAGCATACAAAACAAAACTATACTGGGAGATCGAAGTTCAGGAGGAAACACCAGGAGCGTAACACAGCAATGAGGGATGACACAACGCTGAACACTGGAGGATACTGTAGGAATGTTTAGCTGATTTAGAGTTTAGAAATGTGTTAACATAGAATCTAGAATTATTGTAGAGACACTGACACTGCCCTCAATGTAATAAAGACCTGATTGTGTCATGAACTTAGAAGTAGATTTCTAGGAGACCCTCCCCCACTTGAACTGTGAGATTAAGACAAAAAGGAGTTAATGTTGAGTGGAAATTCCTCAGGCCATGCCTGGGTGGGAGTCTCAAAGTTTGTAACTAAATATCTTTGGTTTGGGAGGGAGATGGACTTTTATGGCCCTCAAGAAGGCACATACATAGAAATATACGCACATAGTGTTTTAACTGTCACGCACACACATCCACACGCACACTCACTCACGTGCACTCACACATACACACAAGTACGCGCATACTCTCACTCACATGCACTCACATAGACATACGGGTACGCACACACACAGGCACTCACAGGCTTGTGCATACACACAGACACAGAGTTTGCAGCTTACCATGGGGTATGCAATTTATCATGGGGTCACTTCTACAAAACTGAGGGAAACGGACAAAGGGGTTGAGATCTGCAGAGGAGTTCCGGGGTCCTGTACATCTCCCTTCTAGAAGGTGTAATCAATAAGTGTAATCAATGAGTGTGGATTAATAAAAGTGTTGTAGATTGACTACTGAGTCCCCGGTGTTCTTTCTGGAGGCCTGAGGAATCTACGAACCGGGTAAAACTGTATTAAGGTAACAATACACACTATAAATACACAGACAAGAACATGAGGGAATGAGAAACAGGTGGGAACACAGCCGGGAGAAATAAGACCTAACGAGACAGAAGAAGCGAAACGAGTAGCATTGCCATAAGACATGGACCTTCAAAATAAAACAGAGAACAAGAAACAATTTACAAAGATGCAGACTAGACACTGAACCTAACCTGCGCTAAACACGAGGGCACAATAACAAAACCTAAGAAGTAGGAATACAACCCGTAATGCTAAATCAAACCAAAACATAAGAACTCAAAATGCTGAGTCACAATGAGACAGAACTGTGACATGTTCTTTAAACAGCAGACAATTCAAAGAATCTAAGTCACCTATCTCCGCATTGATCATTAATGTAAACAGACAATGAGTTACACATAAATTCAGAAAGCACACTCCAAATTCAACAGTGCCTTTATTGTATTAAAGAAAATCTAATAAAGCAGTTTTAGTGAAGTCATCAACATCAACCAAGAAACACAAACTGCCAAAACCCCAAACTAAAACATCAGGTAAGCGTTTTAAAGCTTACTGAGGTAAAAAGAGTGAGAATCTCTTTAAGCATGATGAGCAGGACAGGAAGTTGCTCACATAGGGAGTCGAGTTCACATTCCAATAAAAACTGTCCAACACAAACATTTTTAGCTTGTTCACCCTCCAAAGACCAGCTCTGAGACAGCATCCTAAGTCTTCTGCAGTCAGTGGTGACCCACCTGATACGACGCCTCTGTGGTCGCTGACGTAGTGACCATATGCCTCCCAGTCGTCCTTGTCCTCAGAGTGGTGGAGGGAGTGGAGGGTTACCGGACATCCTGGAGGAAGATTCTCCACCAACACTTGAAATTTCTCATCAACCAAAGCCCGACTCGGGGTGATGGAGAGGATCGGAGGAACCGCCTGTGTCATGGCTGAGAGCAGTCTGTGGAGAGAAACCGTGACAGGTGAGTAACAGTGACAGGTCGGTCCGTCAGTGACGTTCAGGTCTAAGCTGAATTAAAAGCACAGATTTAGATGCAAACACACAGACAAAAAAGCTGTTTTATTTGGTTTTTAATCAGATGTTAATTTTATTTCTAGTTGTTTTGCATCAGCTCACAATAAAGGCGTGTGTGTGTGTGTGTGTTATGAACAAAGCTAACTTTCTGGGATTTCTTAACATGGATAATAAGGCATGTATCGAGCCATTACACCTTGTTGTTTTGGATTATTTTAGCTTTCGTTTATAAATCATATGACACACATTAGCAACCTTTGCTGTCATTTATACATGTATTTAAGTATTTGTGTATGTAGGAGTAGAGCTGGGCGATATGAGATTTTTTCATATCACGATATGTTTTTTTCATTTCAGGCGATAACGATATCTATCACGATATAAGCCAAATAACTATATTTGTAAGATTTAAATGTGCCGTTGCTCACAAGTAAAATGTGA